AGAGAGAAGAGAAGGGAGGGAGAGAGAGGGAGAGATACATCGATGTGCTAGAGAAATATTGATCGGTTGCTTCTCACACACTCCCAACCAGGAACCTGGCCTGCAACCCAGGCATGTACCCTGACTAGAAATCTAACCAGCAACCTTTCAATTTGTTGTATAATGCCTATCCCCCTGAGCCACACCAGTCAGGGCTCTTATTAATACTTTTGTTTGATCACAGTGTTTAAACTTTTAAAAAATTAGTTGTTAACACTTAAAAATTCAGAACTGGATTCCAGGCATCTCTTAAAAACTCGGGGGCGGGGGTGGTGGTGGGGAGGCAACACTGAGCCTTATTCCCAGAGGGAAAAAGTTGACAGGCACTAAGTGTAAGTACTAGATGCCTCCTTCTTCAGTTTTCCAGTCCCTGCCTCTCTTCCTCCCCCCCGCCCGCCCCCTCCCCAAGTTTAACTGTCATCGTGCATGCACTGCTGTTTTCTTACAGAAAAGCTAGGAGGAAAGTGAACTATTTCTTGCTGCTATCAAAATTTTTCTTTTATATGGTCCACTTCACATATTTACGTTACCTGCCCAGACCTTGTTGATTTTTGAGTTTGCAACTCCCAGTGTAGAGGAAAGAGGCCCAGACCCTCAGTCCTAGTGCCTGTTCTGCCTTAGTCTACCATGTGACCTCGAACACAAAAAAATGGCCTCTTTGGATCTCCTTAGAGTTAGGAGACTAAATTGAATGTTATTTGAAAAATTCTAACACCCTGGAGGGCTTGTGAAGTTTCAGTAGGCCAGTACCCTCCCAAACAGCAAGGGAGCCCAGCCTAGTATATATGTCAGAGAAAGAAGACACTGGAAGGAACTGGTGCCTATATTAATAATGTATAACTTGAGCCCAGAGCCAGGGAGAGGAATGTACACTGTGGTGTGCGTGTAACTAGAAGTGCGCTCAAATAAGCTGTTCTTGTATAGGTTGGTGCTTATCTGTTCCTGTGTACTCTATGTACCAGGCTCTATTTTAGGTGCAAGGGATGTAGCAATGAACAAGACAGACAAGGTCTCTGTTATCATGGAGCTTATATTCCAGTGAAGGACACAGAGCTTATATTCCAGTGAAAGATCAGATAATATATAAGTAAATAAAATACATACGATAATTTCAAATAATGAAGAAAGTGAAACAGAAAGATTTAATAGTTTCTGGAGGGGCAAGCTGTGCACAGAGGCGGGTACATAAATGTGGTGCACGTACTTGCACAGGGGCCCATGTTTGAATCCTGGGTCCACATATTTATGCTTATTTGTGCCTATATGTGTATTGGGTTGGCCAAAACGTTTGTTTTTTTCCCCATAAAATGGCTCTAGTAGTGCTTATTTGTCTTTAACTTCATTCCAAACAATTTTGTTAGATTGTATTGTGACAGCTGTCATATCAGTGTGCATTAAAAAAAACATCAAATTGGTGAATTTTTGTGTAGCCATTTTAATAGTAAAGATAGAAGAAAATGTGCAACATATTTGACATATTATGCTTTATCATTTCAAGAAAGATAAAAACACAACTGACATGCAAAAAATGATTTGTGCAGTGATGAAGAAGGTGCTGTGACTTATTGAATGTGTCAAAAGTGTTTTGTGAAGTTTTGTGCTGGAGATTTCTTGTTGGACAATGCTTCATGGCTGTGTAGACCCGTTGAAGTTGATAAGGAGCAAATCGAGGCATTAACTGAGAACAATCAATGTTATACCACACAGGAGCTAGCTGACATACTCAAAATATCCAAATCAATAAAATTATTTGCAAAAATGAAAAATGTGTCTTTTATTTTACAGAAAAAACTAATTGGATTTTTTGGCCAACTCAATACACAGGCAGTATTTATTTATTTATTTATTTATTTATTTATTTATTTATTTATAGATTGTATTTCTTTATTTTTGGACAGAGGGGAAGGAGGGAAAAAGAGGGAGAGAAACATCCATATGTGAGAGAAACATCAGTTGGTTGCCTCTTGTATGCCCCAATGGGGAACCTGGCCTGCAACCCAGTCATGTGCCCTGACAGGGAATCAAACCAGTGACCTCTTGGTTCACAAGCCTACGCTCAATCCACTGAGCCACACCAGCCAGGGCCATGGGCAGCTTTTATACCTGGGGTATTTTTATATTATATGTGATATTACGCATGTCGGTTTACACAGGTGAGCTGGTATGTGGTATGCATGTGGAAATGTGTGCATGGGTATGTGGTATATGTCTACATTTAGCCATAACTGGAGATGTTCTGAAGTTCCTATGGCACTCATCAGTGGGTCAGTTAAGGAAATGGCTTTTTTGCCTCTGGCATTCAGGGCCATTTGCCAGCTTCCTCTCTCCCTGTTCCTTCCCACTTTAGAAAGCTCTCTCTGTTTGGCTCTTCTCCACCCTAGAGGAGCTAAGCCAGGGAGAGGATAGTAACTGACTCATCAAGCCAGGAGGTGGGAAGAGGCTGATAATCCAAAGGCCTGGCTTCTCTGCTAGCCTCTGTCCTTGACAGTATGAGGGGAAGAGCCTGGACTTGAAATCAGAAGACCTGAGAATCTATTCTTGGCTCTACCAGTTAATTATTGTGTGACCTTGGCCAAGCTATTACATCTCTCTAGGTTTCAGTTACCTCCTTCATAAGTACTCTGGGTAATGTAGTGTTTAGGAAGAGCTATGTGGTGCTGTTGCATTCTGAGCAGGGGCAATGGCGTGAGCAGAAGTATGGAGGTGGGCCTTTGTGTGTAAAGGAAGCCAGGAGAAACCCGCTTAGAATAAAATTCAAACTTCTTACCATTACCTGGAAGGCCCTATGTGATCTGGCTGCTTTCTGCCTCTTATTCTTACCCTCCTTCTTGTTCACTATGCTTCAGCTAAACTGCCTTCCTTTCTGTTCTTTGTATATAGTCCAAGCTCTTTACCACCTCAGTACCTTTCCAAATTTCATTGTTCTCTCTGCCAGGATACTCTTCCCAAGAATGCATATAGCTGCTTACTTCTCATTACTCAGGTCTTAGCTCAAATATCACCTCCCTGGAGAGAGGCTTTCTCTGCCTATCTTAGTATCATCCTCTATTGTTTATCAATATTTAAAATGCACATATCCTTTGATCCAATAATTTTACTTCTAGTTAATCATCCTACAGATGTATTTAAAAGTGAGTACAATGACAAATTAATAAAGATATTCATCGAGCATTTATTAGTTAGATAAATTATGGTACATACAAATGGTAGAACATTATAAGGATGACAAAAAAATGAAACAGCACAGTAAATCTTGATGGAGAATGATATCAATGTATATTGTTAAGTTATTTATTTATTTAGATTTTATTTATTTATTTTTAGAGAGGGAAGGGAGGGAGAAAGAGAGAGAGAGAGAAACATCAATGTGTGGCTGCTGGGGACCATGGCCTGCAACCCAGGCATGTGCCCTGACTGGGAATCGAACCTGCGATGCTTTGGTTTGCAGCCCACACTCAATCCACTGAGCTACGCCAGCCAGGGCTATATTGTTAAGCTTTTTAAAAAGCAAGGCGATTGAGCTCTATACTTAAGACTTGTGCAGTTTATTGGATGTATATTGTACTCAATAAAAGATAAGATATAGAATAGTGTGTACTATATGCCATCATTGTATAGAAAACAGTGAGAATTACACATAAATATATGCATGTTTATGCTTGTAAAAAGCATAATTTATACTTGTCTGATATGTTTGTCCTTTAGTTATACAGCTTTCCCACATCTACCCGCCCTGTGCTTGGTTGGCATCTGTGAGGTGCTTATTTTTCTTTTGAACATCATTAAAATTCAATTTTTTTAAATTCAACTTTTAGATTTCCATCTTTAGTGATATCCCAAGGACCTTATGAAAGTTGCTGAAATTGTAGCCTTCTTCCAAAGTAATCATCTTGGTCACATCATGCTAATTAAATTTCCCTATCTATCCCTTCCTTCCTACAAGGAATGGCCTTATCTCCATATTGACTATTTCTGGAAAGTTATACAACATAGGGTAACAGTGGTTGCCAGTAGGCAGAATGACTGGGGTATGGGAAGGGAACTTCTCATCACATATCTTTTTATGAAGTACCATTTATATTTCTTATTCAAAAAATAAAATTGAAAAATTAAAACCACTGAGGGGGAATATTTTTGTAGTTAAATCTTCACATATAATCATGAAAGTTCCTTAAGATATCTTTTTAAAATGTATTTCTCAAGTAATATTTAGCATAATCTGAATTGTCTTGGTTGTATTTGTTACTTGGATATTTCTTGCACAATCATAGGAATATAAGCTTCATGTTGTCAGGAATCTTGCTTATCTTATCCATCAGTGCCTTATTTCTACATGTGTATATAGTACATAATAGTCATTGAATAAGCAAACGAACAGATGTAAGAATGATCAAAGAAAACCAGCAGAGGCCCAGGGAGGAGTGGGAGGCAAGGCTGAGCAGGACAGAAATCAGCTGACAGAGGCTGGTCATTCTCAAACTTTAAATTGATGTCAGAATCATGTGTGATTCTTTTTACCAGCTTATAATAAAGAAGTAGATTCTTGGACCCTGTGATTCTGATTCAGTAGATCTGAGTAGGGGCTCAGGAATCTACATTTTAACAAATTCCCTAGGTGACTTGTGTGCGAGTGTTCTGGAGACCCCACTTTATATCTGTGATATAATTTCTCCTTAATACATCCCTAGGATGGAAGATAAGGGACCATCATCCCATTTATCAACCTAAATGAGGCTCAGAGATTAACAATACATTTTTCAATGACACACAGCTTGTGTATAAAGTATACTTTGAAAGGCCAAAGTATCTGACCAGTCAGTTCAAGCTGTAGTGGTAGATGGCTCAGCCTCACAGGACATTCCCAGGCCTTGGTGTTGCTGAATGGGTTTTATGACTGTTCCTATTTTTTATTTGGAAAAGAGATTATATTTCCTAATGACTTTTTTTCTGATGTATTTCAGGGAAGGCAATGAGCCAGAGGAGACCTCCCAGATCACATACCATGAACTTCTGGTCCAAGTGTGTCAGTTCAGCAATGTTCTCCGAAAACAGGGTGAGTGAAGAGGTGGGGGGAGGGGACTGAAGGGCCTGACCTTGGGGCATCTGAGGACTTGGGAGAAGCAGACAAGGGATGGACAGAATCTGGTACTGGGACTAGAAGAGGTCAGCTGGAGGGGTGGTGGTGGCGATAGCTGGATGAGAGGGAGGGAGTAGCAGCACAGAAGATCCATGGTCTATGTCCTTTATGTGCAGGCATTCGGAAGGGCGACCGAGTGGCCATCTACATGCCCATGATACCGAAGCTTGTGGTAGCAATGCTGGCATGTGCTCGTCTTGGGGCTCTGCATTCCATTGTGGTAGGAATTTGGGCTGGGAAAGGGGCCTGTTGGGGAATGGGGCTCTGAAGAAGTAGATTGGGTCTGGGTAAGAGGATCTTAAGAACCAGACTAAGGAGTTAAAATGTTGTTTTCTTTTTTTAAATCCTCACCCAAGGACATGCTTAGAGAGGGGAAGGGAGTGAGAGAGGAAGAGAAACATCCATGTGGAGAACAACATCTATTGGTTGCCTCTTGCACGCTTCCCGACCAGGAACCAAACCTACAACCTAGGCATGTCCCCTCTCTGGGAATTGAACCCGAGAACTTTCAGTCTATAGAATGATGCTCCAACCAACTGAGCCACACCAACCAGGGCTAAAATGTTTTTGTTATAGGTTATCAGTTATCCAGTTTCTTCTAGCACCCTAACTTATAGACCCTAAAGGTTTTATTAGTGACTCCTTTCTTTGTTCACTTAATCCCTGGGCCCTCACTCCCTTGGTCTTTTTTTTTTTTTTAATTGATTGGTTTAAGGCAGGGGGTGGGGGAGCAAAGGGACACACACACACACACACACAGAGGAAAACAGACAGATACTGATTTGTTGTCCCATATTTATATGCTTTCATTGGTTGCTTCTTGTATGTGCCCTGACTGGGGATCAAACCTGTAACCTTGGTGTATAGGGATGATGTTCTAACCAACTGAGCTATCCAGCCAGTGCTCCCTCAGTCTTTCTTTCCTTCCCTAGTTTGCAGGCTTCTCTGCAGAGTCTCTATGTGAGCGGATCCTAGATTCCAATTGCAGCCTTCTCATCACTGCAGGTGACTAATTTTCTCACTGCTTCTCCAGAACCCCTACACTCCCAAGTCTTTGTTTCAACTAGCTAGTTGGAGTTTGGGACTGCTCAGTGTGGAGGGTAGGGGCTGCTCAGTTTGGAGGGTAGGGACTGCCTACTGTGTAGCTCCTGGTTCTACCTCAGCCAACCCTCTGTCTGCTCAGATCAGATGGAAGAGTTAAGAGGCCCACTCAGGAAGGACTTTATGGATATTGTGCTCACTAGGGATAAGGGGCAAGGAGTGTGGTGCCTTCCTAAGGCCTGGAATGTCTGTTGCTCCCCAAAGATGCCTTCTACAGGGGGGAAAAGCTTGTGAACCTGAAGGAACTGGCTGATGAGGCCCTGGAGAAGTGTCGGGAGAAGTAAGTATGTTTGGCTGGTTGGCTACTACTCTGAGTCAACGAGGCCTTTTCCCAGTGCCGTTTTCCCTTTGTCCCACCTACCCTAGATGGACAAAAGTTATCTTTTGAGCCAAACATTCTACCACTTCAGGCTTTTCTTTCCTCCAGGGGTTTCTCAGTGAGATGCTGCATTGTGGTCAAGCACCTGAGAAGGTCAGAGCTGGGCACAGGTGACTCTGTCAGCCAGTCCCCACCGATTAAGAGGCCATGTCCAGATGTGCAGGTGAGTCTGCTACTGCTATGCTCTCCTCTGGGCTCAAATGGGTTTCCTCTTCCTGCCCAGGAAGTTCCTGATGTCCTTTTCTTCTTCATTATAATTCTGAGGATCTGAGAGCCATCGTAGGAATGCCTCCCCTGGTAGGACTGGCTGGGAGCTGGGGGACTTTGAACTTGAAAGTAGTTAGGGAGCGCTTTGCAACTTGGGACCTTCAAGTGAGACACTGTAAGGGAGACTGGTTGGGGTATCCTGATGGGCACAAGGGACCCTCAGGGCTTGGACTTAGGTTAGAAATGGGCAGACTGGGGTGACTAAATACAGTTATCTTGATTACTGGGCTGTGGCTTGGGGTGGGCTACCTGTGGAATCCCACCATGTAAAGACTAAGATCTAGCCCTCAAGATATCATCCTTATTAGAAAAGGAGCCAGCCAGAAAAGGAGGAGTTTGGGGCACACTGACCCTTCCCTCCCACTTTCCTATACTTGGACCTTGCTCACCATACTTTCTGTGGGCTCTTAGCAGGGTAAGCCGAAAGAGAAACCCAAGCACATCTGGCCCCAGGTGTCCACCTCTGCGCTGCCTTGGGCACTGTCTTCCTGCGTGCTTGTCTGTGTGTCCATTTGCTCTTTGCTTGTTTGCCCCATTGAGGTGACTGCCAGACCTAACCCCTTTATCTCTGCCCCAGGGTCCTTTGCCATTTAAGTCACTTCCAAGGGTTGTGAAGCCGATCACCAGTTGCTACCTCTCTGAACTGGCATACAGCATGCTCTCAGGGCAGTAGCACCAGACAACCCATTTTTCTCCTGCTGCTCAGGACCTTTGTGGGACAGAGGACCAAGCAACCTATCAGAAAGTCTTTACTATGCACTTAATTGGGTCAGAGCCAGGAGAGACAGGAGGAAGGCAAGTAGAATAGACCTTAACATTGGGAATTCACCATCAAGTTGGGGAGGTAGATATGTATTACAAATGAAAACCTAAGTTCTATATAGGACAGCAGAGAAGAAGATTCTTAAATACATTTTTATACTATTTTGGGATTTACAAACTGCACATAAAGTCCGATAAAGTTAAGTGCTAAATTGGCCCTAGCTGGTGTGGCTCAGTGGATCGAGTGCCACCCTGCAAACCAAAGAGTCGCTGGTTCAATTCCCAGTCAGGGCACATCCCTGGGTTGCAAGCCAGGTCCGCAGTAGGGGGCATGTGAGAGGCAACCACTCATTGATGTTTCTCACCCTCTCTTTCTCCTTCCCTTCCCCTCTCTCCAAAAAGAAAGAAATAAAATCTTTTAAAAAATCAAGTGCTAAATTGAACAAAAGTTACACTGTAGGTGGTTCTAAGAAGGGAAATCCCTAAGTGGGGACTCAAAGCAGATTAGTGTAGAGGAGAGACTGGGTTTGGAGTCCAGAGACCAATTTGTAGCTGTATGACCTTGAGTAAGTTGCTTTTGCTCTCTGGGCTTCAGTTCTCTTATCAGTAATGAAGAGATGATGATGCATGCTTAAAAGGAAACCACTTTCCTTATTAACAAAGTAGAAAACTCACAATTCCTCTGAGTTTTACCATCCTCAGAGGGTGTCTTACCTAAATCTGCTATGATTATAACATCTTAGGCTAATGGTAAATATAATCTTCCTTTTCTCTATTCTCATTAGTATGGTAGAGACAGGTCTGATTCCTAGGGGACACTGTTTCCTTTTTAAAAAAAAGTTGTTGACACTATTACAGATGTCCCCTTTGCCCACCTCTACCCAGCCCCAGCCCCTTCCTCCCCTGGCCTTCACCACACTATTGTCTGTGTCCATGGGCTATTGCATATATATTCTTTGTCTTAGGAAAGAAGAACAAAGTTGTAGGGATCACAATACTGGATGTCAAACTATACTACAAAGCCATTGTAATCAAAACAGCCTGGTACTGGCAGAAGAACAGGCAATAGGTCAATGGAACAGAATAGAGAGCCCAGAAATCAACCCATGCTTTTACGGTCAATTAATATTTGGCAAAGGAGGCAAGAGCATACAATGGAGTAAAAACAATCTCTTTAATAAATGGTGTTGGGAAAATTGGACAGGTACATGAAAAATAAAAGAAACTAAACCAGCAATTTATACCATACACAAGAATAAACTCAGAACAAGTGGGACTATATCAAACTAAAAATCTTACACACAGTAAAAGGTGCCATCATCAAAATGAAAAGGGAACGCACTATATGGGAGAACATATTTGCCAATGATACTTCTGGTAACTTCCAAAACATATAAAGAACTTATATACCTCAACATCAGGAAGACAAACCATCCAGTTAAAAAGTAGGCAAAGGACCTGAAGAGACACTTCTCCAAACAGGACATAGAGATGGCCAATAGACATATGAAAAGTTGCTCAATGACACTGTTTCCTTTTAAAACTCAGGTGGGAACCTAAGATTTTTTCTCTTGAAGGAGGTAACAAACTCAGTGATTAAAGCATAGGCCAGACTACTTGGGTTTAAATCCTGGCTCTTTCTCCTGATACTATGGGAGGTTGGTCAAGTTATGTAAGCCCTCTTGCCTTAGTTTCCCCATCTGTAAAATAAGGATAATAGTTGTACCTAATGGATGGGGTTTTGTCAATATATGCAAGGTGTTCAGCACATAGTAACTACTCCATAAATATTAGCTTTTATTGCTTTTAAAATAGGCTGCATTTCTAAGAGGGAAAACAGAAAAAAAATAATAAATTCTTGTAATTCTTTGATACCAGAGATCTCCAGGCCACAAGCTCCTGGATTTATGTTTCTTGGAGGTGAAAACAGTTACCAAAAAACCAAAGACCATAAAAACGGGCTTACAAAGTCCAGGTTTCTTGGCCTAAGCATTGCAGTCCAAGATGCAGAATTCTTGGCAGAGGTCCAAACCCCCTCATCCTTAAGCAATCACTAAGGACGGGCCTACACAATTTGTGTGTGCCCTCCTCAACTATGTCATCTTTGAGCTTCCTCATGTTTCTCCAACACCTGGCATCTGCCCTCCCTGAGGCTACCCTGGTCCAAGGACAAAGGCCAACTCACCTCCTCAATGTGTATTTCAGAAAATTCAAACCCTTTCCTAGTTCAAAGCTCTGGGCTCTCATAGGCACACAGCTAATTCACAATGTTTGTGGCACTAATTGAACTCTCACCCTACTTCCTGGTACAGGTTATCAGCTCCACACATGAAGCATGCCCCTTCCCCGCCTCCCCTTCTTAATCACATATCCACAAAGTAAACAGAGGGAGAAGAGGGAGAGAAACATTGATGTGTGACAGACACATCGATCGGTTGCCTCTTGCATACCCCCAACTGGGGACCTGGCCTGAAGCCCAGGTATGTGCCCTGACTGGGAATTGAACTGGAGACCTTTTGGTTCACAGGCCAGCACTCAATCCACTGAATCACACCAGCCAGGGCAGGTAACAGTTTTATAAGATTATAAGAGTCCTCTCATTGCCACAATGTAACTTGCCTTTACATGTACCTATTGCCTTTTCTGACAATTCACATCACTGTCGTAGACTGGCAGTATTTGCCCAAAGCCATATTGGCACACTTCTGCTTAAATACATTAATGATGGTCTGGCTGGTGTAGCTCCATGGATTGAGTGCAGGCCTGTAAACCAAAGGGTTGCTGGTTCGATTTCCAGTTAGGGCACATGCCTGGGTTGAGGGCCAGGTCTCCTGTAGGGGACATGCAAGAGGCATCCACACATTGATGGTTTCTCTGCCCTCTCCCTCTCTTTCTCCTTCCCTTCTCATCTCCCTAAAAATAAATGAATAAAATCTTTAAAAAAATAATTTAATAAATGTATAAATGACTTCATCTAAAGTAGATCATTTGGCAAGAAAAAAAGTGTTCATGTGACAAGGTATGTGTAGACCTATATGGCTATTCCACTAAAAAATACGGTGTGTTTTTTAGCTCACTGGCAGCTGTCTCCCTTCTTTTTCTTCTTAAATTTTTAATGGTGCCTCACTTGGCCTAGACTTGTCATTCTTATGATGCTTATATGCCAAAAACTTCAAATTCTCTAGACTAAGGGGCAGATAGTAGAGAAAGAGGAGAGTGGTGAGAGAGTTATTTTATAATTTATCAAGGTATGTGTCTAGTATTTTGGGGTTTTTTTTTAAACCAAATATATAACAGTAGGTTAACATATAGACATACAGCAGGAGTAGGGTGTTTCTCTTACACTATCATGTCTACCTGCCAGTCAGGGCCATCAAACATGCAAGAGGTTAATGAATATGACAGGGCTTTGGGACAATTAAAGCAAACCTCAAACAGTTCCTATCATCATACCCTTACATTTATCTCCCAGAGGAGTTCAGGGGAACTGAACTAACTTCCATCTTTCTGACATTCATTGGTGCCCCCCACCCCCCACCCCCGCCGCCAGGGTAACCCAAGTCCTGATATTTACTGTGGATAATACCTTTCTCTTTTGATACTCCCCAAATCCTGTGAGACCATTGGGACAAACGACTATCCTCATTTTAAAAAGGGGTAACAAGGTAAAGGGACTTGCCCAAGTGACTTGCTTAGAAGTGGCACAGAACTGGGATTGAAATCTAGTGCAAATTTTGGACAAATTTAGGGAATTTTGCTTCAGCAAAACTGTCTGTTCAAAAGGTGATATAACCAGGAAAGTAAAACAGTTTCAAGCAGAGTTTAGAAAAATTTGGGGATGACAGATCCAAAAATAGCTATCAAAGGCACTCCGCTATAGGGAGACATCCCTCCAGGAGAAGTCCATTTTGGTCCTTCTCCACCAACTTAAAACAAGTCCTCCTGACACATGGAATCTCAAGTAAATGTATTTCGGGAAAACTCATTGGTACCAATTATGTAAAGGCAGAGGGAGGTCAAGGTAGGACCCTCCAGACAGAGAATGAGGTCTGGACTTTCATGAAAAGGCGCTTGGAGCAAGATCTGTTGACTTCTTTCACTACTAACTGACAGGGCCAGATGCCTGCCTTATCTGCAGGCTCTGACTAATTTTGCATTTCTGAATTGTGTGGTGTTCACATCCGTGCCAATGAGCCACTAGTCCCACAAGTATATATGTGTGTATGCAGGTCTGTGTGTGCATATTCATTCATCCAACAAAAATTTATTGAGCACCTTTTGAGTGCCAGGCATTTCACTAGGTACTGGGGATATAGGTGGGGAAAAAAGACAGACATACCACTGCACTTACAGAGGTCACTATCTAGTTGGGGGGACAGTAATCAAGCAAACAACTAAAATAACTAGAAATATGTGCCGAGCGAGAAAGGAATATGGTGCAGTGATCAAGAATAATAGCAGGGGTGATGCTGGGAGTGGGAATCTACCAGATACTCTCCAAGGAAAGCCTTTCCAAGGTGACATTTAAACTAAGAATTGAAGGATGAGAAGAGACCAGCCAAGGGGCCCTCCTCAGCCTGAGGGCCAGGTGAGGGGGAACTCTGGAGCAGGGTGCTGGGAGCACCCAGGAAACCTGCTATTCTGTTCCTGTTCTCTCTGCTCTCTTCCACCCTCGCAGGGCCCTTCCTCCCTTCCACAACCCCCATCTGCCAGTCCCACCCCAGCCCCTCTATGTGCCAGGTATCTCCTGCGCCCATCTTGAGCTGTTCACAGTTCTTTCCTGCCCATTTCTGCCTTTCTTCTCCTGCAGATCCCTTGGAATGAGGACGTTGACCTGTGGTGGCATGAACTCATGCAGGACGCAGGGGATGAGTGTGAGCCTGAGTGGTGTGATGCTGAGGACCCGCTCTTCATCCTGTACACCAGTGGCTCCACAGGCAAACCCAAGGCAAGTGTGTGAGCACATGTATGCACATGTGCATACAGTGTGTAAGGGTGAGAAGTGAGTTTCTGAGGGCGCATTTAATGACATCAATTTTACTCTACAACCCTGAGTTTCAGAAATGTCAATTACCTTTTCTAAATCAAATTAAGGCATTAGATTGTGAGGCTCAGGTGAGATAATTTAAGTGAAGGCTTTCATAGTGCCCAGAAAATGAGAAAAGCATGAGTCTATATGGCTTGTATTGATGGTTTTTTTTCCATGCCTACATGGTTTGGTTGAAGGAGAGCTGCCCTGTCAACTCAAGACCAAGAGTGGACACAGGGATCCCTCTTGGGCTCCTAGACTACAGCTTTTTGAGCTCAGCTCCTTCAACATGCCACACTTTAACATCTAGTCCAGGGGGGTCAAACTCATCTTCACTGGGGGCCACATCAGCCTCGTGGTTGCCTTAAAAGGGCTGAATATAATTTTAGGACTCTATAAATGTAACTACTCCTTAATAACTAGGGTCAAGGAGTTCGGCGCTGCCGCCGGGTAGAAACAAGGTGCCCGGCTGAATAAAACAAGGTGCCCGGCTGCATTTGGCCCATGGGCCTTGTGTTTGCCACCTGTGATCTAGTCCCTGGGAGGGCACAGTGGGAGCCAGAAATACTTAAGAAGACTTGGACTACTTTCGGTCAAGGTGGAGGCATAGGCAGACACACTGTGCCTCCTTGCACAACCAAGAAAAGGACAACAAATTTAAAAACAAAAAACAACCAGAACTGACAGAAAATCAAACTGTATGGAAGTCTGACAACCAAGGAGTTAAAGAAGAAACATTTATCCAGACCAGTAGGAGGGACGGAGGTGGGCCGCTGGGCTGAGAGGACTCACGGCAAGGCAGCAGCGGGAGGACCAGGGTGGGCAAGGCGGTGGCTGGTGGAGGGGAGGAACAACTGGGGAGTGAGATAGACTGCGCAACTTTATTTCCAGTGAGGGGAAATAAAGCCTCAAAGCCTCTGACTGAAAACACCTGTGGGGGCAGCAGTGGTGAGAAACTCTCAGCCACATAGGAGAGTTTGTTGGAGAGACCCATAGGTTCCTAGAACCTACACAGACCCACCCACCCAGGAATCAGCACCTGAAGGGCCCAATTTGATTGTGGATAGCGGGGGAAGTGACTAAAAACCAGCAGAGAGTGCAGTAAGTGGTTTTGTTCACTCTGGAACATACAACATCACAACTCAGTGATGTGGGTTGCCCCGCCCTGGTGAACACCTAAGGCTCCACCCCTTACTACGTAACAGGCACACAGATACAAAAAAAAAAAAAAAAGACCCAAATGAAAGAACAAATCAAAGCTCCAGAAAAAATACAACTAAGCAACAGAGAGATAGCCAACCTATCAGATGCATAGTTCAAAACACTGGTAATCAGGGTGTTCACAGAATTGGTTGAGTATGGTTGCAAATTAGAGGAAAAAATGAAGGCTATGAAAAATGAAATAAAGGAAATTGTACAGGGAATCAACAGTGATGGAATGAGAACTGGGACTCAAATAAATGATTTGGACCAGAAGGAAGAAAGAAACATTCAATTAGAACAGAAGGAAGAAACAAGAATTCAAAAAAATAAGGAGAGCCTTAGGAACCTCCAGGAAATCTTTAAATGTTCCAACATCCAAATCATAGGGGTGCCAGAAGGAGAAGAAGAGCAAGAATTGAAAACTTAATTGAACAAATAATGAGGAACCTCCCCAATCTGGTAAAGGGAACAGACTTTCATAAAGTCCAGGAAGCTCAAAGAGTCCCAAAGAAGTTGGACCCAAGAAGAAACACACCAAAGCACATCATCATTATATTAGCTAAGATGAAAGATAAGGAGAGAATCTTAAAAGCAGCAAGAGAAAAGGAGAGAGTTACCTACAAAGAAGTTTTTATTAGACTATCAGCTGAATTCTCAAAAAAACCTCACAGGCAACAAGGGGTTGGAAAGAAGAATTCAAAGTCATGAAAGGCAAGGACCTCCATCCAAGATTGCTCTATCTAGCAAAGCTTTCATTTAGAATGGAAGGGCAGATAAAGTACTTCCCAGATAAGGTCAAGTTAAAGGAGTTCATCATCACCAAGCCCTTATATTATGAAATGTTAAAGGGACTTATCTAAGAAAAAGAAGACCAAAAATATGAACAGTAAAATGACAACAAACTCACAGCTATTAACAACCGAACCTAAAAACAAAAACAAACTAAGCAAACAACTAGAACAGGAACAGAATCACAGAAATGGAGATCACATGGAGGGTTACCAGCAGCAGAGTGGGAGGGTTATCAGCAGGAAAGAGCGGGAAAAGGTACAGAGAATAAGCAGCATAAATGGTAGGTACAAAATAGACAGGGGGAGGGTAAGAATAGTATAGGAATTGTAGAAGCCAAAGAAGTTATATGTATCATCCATGGACATGAACTAAAGTGGGGGAATGTGGATGGGAGGGGGTGTGCAGGGCAGAGGGGAATAAAGGGTGGGGGGGAATGGGACAACTGTAATAACATAATGAATAAAATATATTAAAAAAAAGAAAAGAAGAAAAAGAAAACTTAGACTGTTCCATCAACTTGAAAGATGTCACTCTGCCTTCTACCTACCCCATCCCTAAATTATTTTCCCTGCATGCTCTGGAATATCCCTCAATGAGTTTTTAGAAACGCAGCTTTGGTCTCTCTCTCCTAGGGATGGGATATTAATAGAATAAGAAAAGATTGTCTATTTTTCTCTACTCTCACTCTGTCGATGTGTAACTGAGTGTGTGTGCACAAACGTACAACAGAGACACCATCTGTGAGTGTACTGAGTGTTCATGTATGAGAGTAATGCGGGTGGCTCCTAAATACCATCTTAGGGTGTGGGTGTGAATGACGGACTGATGTTACGTGTGTGTGAGGTACTACATGGGCACGCGGAGAAAAGGGGGTGGAGGAGAGATGGAGGGTGTGAAAGGCGTGCCAGTGGTCAGCGGCGGTGAGCCCAAGCCCTGTCCTGAAGCCTTCTTCTTCCCGCAGGGTGTGGTGCACACAGTTGGAGGCTACATGCTCTATGTGGCCACAACCTTCAAGTACGTGTTTGACTTCCATCCAGAGGACGTGTTCTGGTGCACAGCAGACATTGGCTGGATCACTGGCCATTCCTACGTCACCTATGGGCCACTGGCCAATGGTGCCACCAGTGTTTTGGTGAGAAGGGAGCTGGGACCAATAGCTACCTGGCCCACTTAGGGGGTGGACAAGGTGATCCAGGATGACTGCCTCCCAAGGCCACTTGGTCTAGAGGCAGTAGGACTTACACATTTCTTGCACAGTTCTGGGGGGTTTGTGAATCCTGAGTGGGAAGTTCTTTTGGCTTGTCTGGTAAAGGAGTAAAGTCACGGGTTTGTCAGAAAGGGCAAATTACTGAGCCTGGGGCATGGTGGGGGAGTGGAGGAGCTACTGGGAAGGACCAGAAATGACCAGCCCTCCCTGGGTTAGTTTGAGGGTATCCCCACATACCCGGACGTGAGCCGCATGTGGAGCGTCGTGGACAAGTACAAGGTGACCAAGTTCTACACAGCACCTACAGCTATCCGCCTGCTCATGAAGTTTGGAGATAAGCCTGTCACCAAGTGAGACCCCTCCCCAGCTGCTGCCCCATTGGTGTCCCTGAGAACAACTGGCCTTTGTGCACTCGTTTTCATGCCACTGTCCCAACTCCCTAGCCCGGAATGGGGGTGGGTGGGCAGAAGAGCCTGGGTATATCTTCCTGATTCCTCTTTCCCCACTCCCCTGCCCAAGGTATAGCCGGGCATCCTTACAGGTGTTGGGCACAGTAGGTGAACCCATCAACCCTGAGGCCTGGCTATGGTACTACCAGGTAGTAGGCGACCAGCGCTGCCCCATCGTGGACACCTTCTGGCAGACGGAGACAGTGAGTAAGGGGTACAGAAGGTTGGGGCTCAGGGACAGTGTGGGAAGACTAACTCAAACCCCTGATCTCTGACTTCCACAGGGCGGCCATATGCTGACGCCCCTCCCTGGGGCAACACCCATGAAGCCTGGTTCTGCTGTGAGTGAGGCTCCCTCGGCTGGCCCTGGGCTAGGCAGGGACAGAGTCTTGGGGCATTTGGCCTAAGCAGAGGGTGGAGGACTGGACTGATATGTGTGACGAATTTGGGGCTGTCCTTCTCCATGGGAGAGGTTGAGTTGTGTCAGAATTGCCTCATTTCTCTCCTTGGGTCCTGTCTCCTGTTTGCTTCTAGACCTTCCCATTCTTTGGTGTAGCTCCCGCAATCCTGAATGAGTCTGGGGAAGAGTTGGAAGGTGAAGCTGAAGGCTATCTGGTGAGGCCCTTGGAGGGGGGTCTTGGAAGAGTGAGGGGAAAGGGTCCACTAAGTGATACTGTACTTTGCTTCAGCGTTTAGAACCTAGTCTCTCCTGGTAGCTGCTGTGATTAAAGTTCCATAGTTGAGGGTTTATCATTTGCAGAGGTCCTGCAGGGAATTGTTCTGGATTCTGCACGTGCCTGCCTCTCTGCATTTTGGCCCATGAGGCTCTTAAGAACTCTGCTCAAAGACTCCTGAAGGTGCCTTTTTGGGTCTTGAAGACTTAGTCCCAACTTTTCCTTTGACAAACATTCTAGTGTGAAAGGAAGCTTCCTAACGTAGTGGGAAGTCATATAGGCTCCAGAGTCAACTTACCTGAGTTCAAATCCTGGCTCTGCCTCTTCTGTGACCTCAGATAAGTTACCTAACCCTTCTGAACCTAAATTTCCTCAATTGTAATATCGGGTTATAATAGTACCTTTGTCTTCTGTGGTTGCTGGATTGATTAAATTAGATGATCCATGTGAAGTTTAGCACAGAACCTAACAGTACTTGATAAATGTTCGCTGTCGTTATGATTGTTGTATTAGAACTTATAACATCAGCCCCTACTCTCCACCCCACTTCACTTTTACTAAGAACAAAGCAGTAACAAGGGCAACACTTGAATCCAGCCAGGCCTTCTGCCTCTTAGCCATCATCTTCTCCATTTGCCACAGGATGTTATTGATTGGGGAAGTAATTTACTCATGAGTGGGTCCCACATTTTTATTCTGTTTTCATTTGCATCAAACTGGATCTGCTTTCCTGAGGGGATTATCCAAAAGGAGACTCAAATTTACTAAGTGTTCATCATCAACATAACATTGTGCTAGGCATCTTATACCTGCTATCAATTTAATTCTCAGATTATTTTCTCTGATTTACAGATGAGGATCCTGAAGCTCAGATAGGCAAAGTTACTTTCCTGAGGTCACAAAGAGGCACATTCGGGACTCTAAGCCTGGATTGTCTATCTCCAAAGCCTATACTTTGTAGTACTTCTCAGGAACAGCATCCAGGGCATTTATCCTCAGATTTGGCAAAGCTTGGATTGTGTTTCAGTGAGACAGAGTAACAGAAGTGACCGCTGTGCCTTCCCCACTCCCCAGGTGTTCAAGCAGCCCTGGCCAGGGATCATGCGCACAGTCTATGGGAATCATGAGCGCTTTGAGGCCACCTACTTTAAGAAGTTCCCTGGGTACTACGTGACAGGAGATGGTGAGCCTTGGCTATCCCCTTCCCCACTCTTCCTAACAAGACATGTACCTTCCCCTCCCATTTTCAGGAAGAGTTGACTAAGGGTGAAGAAGCACAAGGAGAGAAAAATGTGTCCTATGTTATCAGAGCTACAGAGACTGTAAGGGCAGGAACGAGTATTGCAGAATGGGTCTCAGTGTGGTGCCATCTGAGATTTGCTGTATGAGGAATGACGTTTTTGTTGTCATTGCTCCTGTGTTGAAAAGGATGGGGCATATGGCAGTATTATGTCACGTGTGCCCCCATACCTGGAGGCTGTGTTTGCCCATATGTCCATCCACCATTGCACTCATCCACAAATATTTACTGAGCACCTAGTATGCCCAGGCACTGATCTAACCATGGGGATAATGCCATGAATAAGGCAGGCAAGGTCTCTGCTCTCATGGGACTTACTTTCCATTAAAAGAATACAGACCATAAACTCAGCAAACAAGTAAATAAGCTTGTCTTACTGATGAGTGCTGTGAAGAAAAAAATGCTCTGAATAAAGTAATGGGATAAAGAGCGTCTGAAGGCATGGCCATATATGGAGTGATGAGAGAAGGCTTCTCTGAAGTGACATTTGACCACAGACCTGTTAGGTGAGAAGGGGCCAGTCATGGGAAAATGCGAATTAAGTGCGAGTGTTCTGTGCAGACACGTGCTTGCAACGTCTGAGGAACAGACTGAAGCCTGGGTGGCCAGTGTGTAGTGAGCAAAGGAAGAATGTTACATGGGTTGAAGAGGGAGATAATATAAGGCCTTGTGGGCCATGGTGAAGTTTGATTTTATCCAATGTACAGTAGAGGCTTTTAGGGGTTTTGAGCAGAGAACTTGATGAGGACTTATTTACTGTTTAGAAAATAACTTTGCCTGCTCTGGCCAGTGTGGCTCAGTTGGTTGAGCATGGGCCTGTGAACTGAAATGTCACCATTTCAATTCCTGGGCAGGGCACCTGCCTGGGTTGCAGGGTTTGTCCTCCATAGGGGCATGTATAAGAGGCAACCAATCAATGCTTCTCTCTCACATCAATGTTTCTCTCCTTCTCTCTCTCTCCCTCCCTTCCTCCCTCTAAAAAATAAATACATAAATATTTTTAAATGATTTTATTTATTCATTTTTAGAGAGAAGGGAAGGAGAAAGAGGAGAGAAACATCAATATGTGGTTGCCTCTCATGCGCCCCCTACTGGGGAGCTAGCCTGCAATTCAGGCATGTGCCCTGACTAGAAACTGAACTGGTGACCCTTTGGTTCGCAACCCACGCTCAATCCACTGAGCTACACAGCCAGGGTGAATACATAAATATTTTTTTTAAAGAAAATAACTTTGCCTAATTTATGGAGAATAAACTTTTGGTATGTGTATTAATTATGTATTGTTGTGGAGCAAATTACCTCCAAACTTGGCAGCTTAAAACACCAAATATTATATTATCTCATACAATTTCAGAGAATCAGCAACACAGAGTGTCTTAGCTGGTGGTTCTCATTCAGAGTCGCTTGAGGGTTGCAGTCAAGCTGTTGTTTGGGGCTGCAGTCATCTGAAGGTTTGACTGAGCCTGGAGGACCCACTTTCGAGCTCACTCATGTGGTGGTTGGCAGGAACCCTCAGTTCCTTGCCACTTGGGCCTCTCTATAGGGCCATTCATGATGTGGCAGCTGGCTTCCCCCGGAACAAATAATCTGAGATAATGCAGCCAAGATAGAAGCCACATTGTCTTCTATAATCTAATCACAGAAATGACATTCCATCACTTCTGCCAAATTATATTGCTCGCACAGACTAACTAGTCCAATGAGAAAGGGCCACAGTGGGGTATGAATACCAGGAGGTGGAGATCAGTGTGGCTATTTTGGAGCCTGGTCTCCACAGTGGGCAAGCACAGAAGCAGGAAGACTTGCTAGGAAGCTAGTGCAGTGCGTAATATGGATCATGTATCCTTCTGTGGGGTATTACATGGTGCATTTCTTCACAATTCCCAGGCTGCCGGCGGGACAAGGATGGCTATTACTGGATCACTGGCAGGATCGATGACATGCTGAATGTATCTGGTGAGCGCCAGGGACCACTTTCCCTTCTCATTAGCCCTGCTCTCCCAGCGACTCCCAGCTAAAGCCTTTTGAGAGAGCCAGGATGTCCTTTGGCCAGACCGTGTTTGGAGTGAAGCATCCAGTTCTGGGCCCAGGTTTTGGAGGAAGAGTGATAAACACTGGAATGTGCCTGAAGGAGGGGACTGGGATGGTGGGGCAACTGTGGCATGTCATATGAGGAATGAATGAAGGGCCTTTCTAATTTGACCAGACCAGGACTGCCCTGCAGGCACGGATGGAGCAGGGGCTGGGATAGAGGCCAAGATCTTTCTCATGGCACTTCCTTTCCCTTGACAAGGTCACCTGCTGAGCACTGCAGAGGTGGAGTCAGCACTTGTGGAACATCAGGCTGTTGCAGAGGCAGCTGTGGTCAGCCACCCTCATCCTGTGAAGGGCGAATGCCTCTACTGCTTTGTCACCTTGTGTGATGGCTATTCCTTCAGTCCCACTCTCACTGAGGAGCTCAAGAAGCAGAGTGAGGAGCCTCCCTGGGCAGGGAGGGACTGCAGGGTTTGTCCTGACGGCCCAGTTACCACTGCAGGTTGTTGGGGAGGGGCTGAAGCGAGCTGCTCCCCAAACCACAAACAGATCCCAGGGGGGTGATTGCCCTCTTTCCATTCTGTCTCCATCAGTCAGCCACTAGGATAATAATGACTGGCATGTATAGAATTCTTTCTCTATGCCAACACTGGGCTAAGTGCTTTAAATGCATATAATCACCCCCAAAACAAATCCTATTGTTACCATCATTATAAAGATGAAGACATTGAAGCTCAGAGAAGTTAAATCACTTGCCTGGGGCCACACTCTAGTAAAGTGGGATTTCAACTTTAGCGGGTTAATTCTAGAGTCTGAGCTCCATGAAGGTACATTAAGATAAATGAGATAGGCCCTGGCCAGGTAGTTCAGTTGGTTAGAATGTGGTCCCAACAGGCCAAGGTTGTGGGTTCAATCCCTGGTCAAGGCACACACAAGAATCAATCAATTAATGCATAAATGGAAGGTGGAAGAACAAATCAATGTTTCTCTCTCTCCCTTTCTAAAATCAGTTTTAAAAAGATAAATGAGAGAGTAAAGAGACCATGTTTTAAAAAGAAAGACAGATAGGCAGTGCCCTTGAAGAGGCGATAGGTGGGGAATAAAGTCATCTCTATTTTGGTTTTGGGGAGCCTGGCTAAAGGTTCTGAAGTAATGCTTAATGATTTGTCGGTTACAGTTAGAGAAAAGATTGGCCCCATTGCCACACCAGATTACATCCAGAATGCACCTGGCTTGCCTAAAACCCGCTCAGGTATGTTCAAAACCTCGAGGATTGGGATTGGGTTGTGGTGGAGTGTGGGTGGATGAAAGCCTTTGGCAGAGCTGGAGTTGGCTGGCGCGGTCACCAGGTAACCAGAAGCCTGTGGTCCTTTAGGGAAAATCATGAGGCGGGTGCTTCGGAAGATTGCTCAGAATGACCACGACCTGGGGGACACATCTACTGTGGCTGACCCATCTGTCATCAGCCAGCTCTTCAGCCACCGTTGCCGGACCATCCTGTGACCAAGACTGCCCTTTACCCAGGATTCCCCCCGCTTGGCTTTCCAAAGTTTTGCCCACTCTCCCTGTCCCCATCCAAGAGTGCTGAGGGCCAGGGCTGACCCACACCACCTCCCTCAACCAGGTGTCCGGGACCGAGGACCAGCTTTACCCTTGGGTGGAGGCAACTTCCTGTGACTGCCAGGCAGATGGGACAGAATCCAGGTCAGCCTTAAGTTGCTGTGCTTGCAAAGAGCCCTTGGAGCCCGGAACAGGGAACTGAAGGTCATATTCCCAACCCAAGTTGAGTGTTCAGAGGGCAAGTGAGGCCTAGACTGGAGAAGCAGGGAGGCAGCTCTGTAATCCTACGTCAACTCTCAGGAAGCACCAGCACTTGTCTTGGGCATGCACTTGCCCTTAGACACACCTGTTTGTGAGTTCTGGAACAATTATTATTATGTTTTAAATACTCTGCTTCTTTTGCTCTGGGTCTTTTGTGCCAGATGACAGTGCTTGCCTGCTCATTTGCTCCAGGGGCTGTGAAGGCAGGCTGTTTCCAGACGGTTTTTAAATCATTTGCTTCTTTGGGGCCAGAGGAACTTGTCTTCTTTGTCTTCTGTCCCCACCTTCATCTGAACACAGTTGTGCCCAGGACAGACACTCTCAGATGAAACTCTTTTCTCCCCTCAGTTGTGCCCAAGCTCTGTTGTTGGAATAAAGTCTGTGACCTCAAGAAGATGATGACTTGTTTTCTTAGGTGTCTTACAGGTTCTGTACTTGCCAGCTGCTCTGATTTGTGTGGGGACGGACAGGGGAGTGGTTTTCCCCAGGAGCACCCTAACACCCTCCTTCCACAACTTTCGGTTAGGACAAACTAGGCAGGGCTATACTCGTAGGCCCTTTGACAAGCTACTGAGCTAAGCAGGAAAGCAACTGAAGCCAGTTCACAATTGTGATGCCCCATTACAGTTGCCCTCCTTCCGGCGCCTGCTAGGGGCCCTCTCTCCTCCCTGTGATCCCTTGAGAGCATTAGTGAGTCACTAAGGATTCTTCAAGGTCCTATTCATAGGGTCTGGAGCTAGGGAGACTCTGATTAGAGCCAAACCACTTCCCCTGCTGCAATCCACCTTCAGTGGGCTGGCCCAGATTAAAGATCCTCCTTCCCCTAATTGTACAAACCAAGCAGTCACAGAATCAGAAGCGTAGTTTTATTTAAGGCAGAGGTGGGGACGGCTATGCCCTCCCACCCCACTCTTCCTATCCCTAAGTCCTACCCCAAGTCAGACAGAGACCTGCTGCAAAGGCTGACGAGGGACTGACAGGAGGGTGGCAGTGCTACGGACTGTTACCTCGGTCACCTCCCTTTCAGCTGTGCCCATGCCCTTAGGATTTAGGGGCTTCTAGCTCTCACCTAAGGGAAACGCAGCTTCTCTAGTCCTCAGACAGGAGGTACCCAGCATTCACCCTTCCATGAAGACCCTGGGGTCTCTAGAAGAGACCAGCCCTCCCAAGGTGGCGGGGGGAGAAAAGCACCTCTCAGGAGAACTAGGAGAGGAATGACAAGTACAAGGGGTAGAGGGTCTCTTGAGCGAAGTCGGGCGGGCCTGGCTGTGCCCTCATGCAGGGTATGGGTTGTCCAGGACTGCCACTCCTGCGGCCACACCTCCATCTGCATGTTCAATGGCTTTGGTTCGAAGCAGATGTCCCACGTGCTTGTTCATCACAAGTGTCTTTCCCTGCCTATGGAAATGGAAACAGGGGACACACAACTCTGTCACCTAGACTCAGTCCTTAAACCCAGGACCTCCCCTGGTCCCAGCTGACCAGTACATGGATGACTAACCGCACCGAAGAAAATGTTAGGGTTTTAGAGTAAGACTTGGGTTTGCATCCTTAGCCTGGAAATTACTAGCTCTGTGTCTTTGAGCAAGTTACTCGGCCTTTTTAAATATCAGTTTCTTCCATTTTAAATAGGGATAAGACCTCTTATTTTGCAAGATGCTAATAAGGATTAAATAAAACAGGAAAAGCACTTAGCATAACATGGCACCAAGGCTCACATTTCATGTTCTGTAGTTGTAAATTTCCTTCTCCACTTCTCTTAAGATGCCTGTGGTGGTGGGTGGGTTTGGGGTGGTGAGGAAGACGCGGGGTGCTGGAGAGGGGTTGGGAGAGGCAGGCAAAGATGCTGCAAGTGGTTAGAGGGGATTACGGAGAAGGCAGGCCCTGGTATTCCTCCCTTGCCCTGAGTATTTTGAAGGAAGTGGTATGAGGGACCAGGAACTGTTCCTTATAAATCCACAAGTCTTCCTCTCTTCCTGATTCCTTAGTGTTCAAATCCAAACCCAGGGGCCACTGAGAATTTCAAAGTCACTGAGTATCCTCTAGCTGGCCCATTCCACCTTTCCCCAGACCCCCCAGTAGCTTGGGAACTGGACCCAAACTCTCTTCTTCCCAGGGGTCTCCTTCTAGTCCAGGGATTTTCTCATCCATCTTGATACTACTTGAAATTTCCTTCATACTTGCAAAATACTTCTCATCTGGGCTTCATCTGATAGCCCTGTGAGGTGGGCAGGTCTTGGTCCTTGGCTGATTTACTAGATTAGGAAATGGAGCTAGGGATTGGCAGAGCCGCTCCCTGTCCAGTGCTTCCCTCCAGGCTTTCTTGGCTGGCCCCCCGGAAAGCAAGAGCCGCTCCTATCAGCTCACCTGACATAGACCCCGAAGATGCCCAGCTCTGAGATGCACTGGGATACTCGGACAGGGCTTCCAGGCCGTAGTAGGCAATTCCCAAAAGGCTCAGGCTCAATCTTCTCCATGAGGATGTAGGAGGCTCTCTCCTCACTGTCTTTGAGCCGCTCCAGGGCCTGCGTCATCTCTTCCCCATATAGGTTGTTACCTGCAATTCCACTGGCTAGTCACCCTGGATTCTGTGCCCAACGTCTCCACCCCGCGCTCCCACTTCTGGGGCCATGTGGACAAGTCAGCAGCCTCGTTCCTGACATCAGCTCAGAGAAGCCAGAGCAGGCCTGACTCCTGAGGAGGGAATCTCACTTTAACAGAACAGCCCTGACTCACAAACAGCCCTGAACCCACCTTCCACCACACCATCCTGCCCTGGGTCTCCTCCTACTTGTCTATGGCCATTGCTGCTCAGCCTCTCCGACTGGCTCCTGCCTCTCTTAAATGTTGGGATTCCCAAGGAATTGGTCATCCACCCTTGTTCTCTCCTCCACGCACAGTTTTTTCAGGAAGATCTCTTCCAAGTGTCTATCTATATCCTATAACTTATTAACTCCTAAATCTTTAATTCAAGCTGCCTACTCTAGACATCACATGGACATCCCATGGGTCCCCCAAAACAAACTCAACATGTCCAAACGGAATTCATTACTTCTGCCCGAACCTGCCCAGCTTAGACCTTCCTCTTCCCAATCAGGCAAAAGGCATCCCTGAGTCATATTTAACTCCTCCCTCTCCATTACCTCAGCCATTCAGACACATCTCCTCAGTCGGTACTCCACGCTGTCACAGCCCCAGCCCAGGCCTCTGCCTTGCTCTTCGGGGCAACTATGCCTGCCTCCTCTGTGGTCTCTGCTACTAATGTTCCCCCTCATTCCAAGACATGCTCTCCCATGGCTGAACCATGGGTCCCGAATCAACTGTGTGTCTCTTCCCTCATTAAAACTCTCTAATGACTGCCACTGCCCTTAGGATAAAATCATCTATTCAACATCCTTTATAATCAGGTCCCAAACCATCCTTTCCAGCCCAAGCCCTCGCCTCCTCCCACTTCCCATGATGTACTCCAGCCTCACTAGTAACCCTTTAATCTCCAAACATACCACATTTCATGGACCAGTGCTTTTGCTTAAGGTTGCTCCTTCTGTATGGTAGCTACACTACCTATTCCGTCAGACCAAGATCAAAAACCATTTCTTCTCAGTCTGTGGGGCAGAAATGATCCTTGCTCTCTGCTCTCAAGGAGTTCAGTCTAGGCAGGAGGACATCCAAAGTCCTGATGTCTTCATCTCACTCCCCCACAATCCACCCACAGGCACTGCAGACTAAACTAGTCCAAATCCTCAAATGCTGGGTACTCAGATTCCCTGCGCTCCACAGCCCTGGATCACAAAGCCTCCTGGGACACTGTCCAAGGTGAGGACCTGTGTCAGTTCTTTCATCTCTCAGAGGCTAGGACTGTGCCCATAGCAAGTGCCGGTCAGCACTGGTGACAGGCTGCTAGCCCCTTTTTCCTGAGCAGCCTTGCAAAGGGGGATCCACCTACCTCCACCTTCTCTCTGGGGCTTTAGCACAAAGCGGCTAGGAGCAGCAAGGGCCTCAGCGATGGCCTGGTCTCCTTCTCCACCCTGGCAGGAGGTAAAGAAGCAGTCATCAGCAGTTTTAGGCCAAAGAGGCAGGAGCTGAGGTCCTGCTGGTTGTGCAGAGCAGAATCAGAAGAAGAGTATCTGGGGGAAAAGCCATAAGCCCCTTTAGGCGGGGTGACACTATATGGATGTGATACCCTCCCCCTGCCCCTGCAAAGCAGGTACAGATATTCCCTAACCCTTGCTGTCTGCCTCAGTCTCTCCCTCTGGTTACTGTCTCCATCTCCGCCTCTGCCGAGTTTACAGTGGATTCCAGCCCTCCTCCCCAGGGCTCTGGGGGGGTGGTTCTCACAGAGCATCACTGACCCAAGTCCAGCCCAGTACCAGCTCCAGCCTCTCCCACACATTGGGCTCTGGGTCCCTGCCACCTAGGAGGTATGTGGTGGGGGAAACAGGCTGCCCACCTACCATGTCCAGTGAGTAGAGGCCAGCAAAAGTGGCACGGAGGCGGGCCACGGCCTCGGGCTGGCCAGGGAGCAGCGCCTCCAGCACGCCCACTCTGCTCAGCTCCTGCTGCACCTTCTTAGTTCCTGCCAACTGGGTGGCAATATCTGGGCACTTGACAGCACATGACCTCTCCAGCAGGAGGCGTGCTCCCCAGTTCTGCAGAGAGAAAACGAGGAGTTTTACTTTATATCACAGCACCTGTCCAGCAGGGGCCAGGCATTGTGCTTTCTATCCTCACATTCATTGTCTCCCACCGTCCCTGCGACATCCTGGTGCGGCAGGTACGGCCCCTCCCAGTCTGCAGGATTCTCGCCCTCAGGGAGCTCACAGTCTAGCGCACTGATACATGACTATAATCAAAAGGGAAAATGACATAAGGTCTAAAGGCACAGAAAAACTGATGAAGAAGTCTGAAAGGGATGGGACACTTGTTTCCCACTGCACTCCGAATAAATCCAAACTCTCTCCTTCTCAACCTCATTCTATGCCAGCACTCTACCCCCTCCCACATTCTGGCCACTCAGTCCTAACAACCCTCAAACGTGCAAACATCATGCCCGCCTCAGGGCCTTTGCATCTGCTGCCTTTCCCTCTGCCTGGAGCTCCCTTCCTTCTGACTCTTTCAAAGGATGGCTGGGTCCTTCTTATCCTTAAGTCTTGCCTCAGAGTCATCTTCTCAAATCACCCTATTTAATGTGGGTTTCCCCATAATTCTCTATCTTTTCACCCTGTTGTTTCATTCAGAGAGTTTCCCCAACTAGAAAACATATTTTCTATTTTGTTTCCTTCTGGATGTTCACCGGCCTGACCAGACTGTGAGCTCCATAAGGACCAGACCCTTGTTGTCTCTCTTCGTTCCTGTCGTACCCCCAGTGCCTAACACGGTGCCTGGCGCTTTGTA